TTCTCCCTTCTCCTCCTCCTGCTCCTTTTTCCTTCTCCCTTCTCCTCTCCCTTCTCCCCTCTCCTCCTCCTCCTTTTCCCTTCTCTTCCTCCTTCTCCCTTCTCCTTCTCCTCCCTTTTCCTTTCTCCCTTCTTCTCCTCCTCCTCCTCCGTTCTCCTTCTCCTCCTTTTTCCTTCTCCCTTCTCCTCTCCCTTTTCCCCTCTCCTCCTCCTTCTCCCTTCTCCTCCTCCATTCTTTTCCTCCTCCTCCTCTTTTTTCATCTTCCTCTTCTTTCCCCTTTTCCTCCTCCTCCTTTTCCCTTCTCTTCCTCCTTCTCCCTTCTCCTCCTTCTCCTCTCCCTTCTCCCCTCTCCTCTTCCTCCTTTTCCCTTCTCCTCCTCCCTTCTTTTCCTCCTCCTCCTCCTCTTTTTTCATCTTTCTCTTCTTTCCCCTTTTCCTCCTCCTTCCTTTCCCTTCTCCTCTTCAGTCAGAAGTGACCTCTTGGAGATCATCTAATCCAACCCTCCGGCTCCAACCCAGTGACCCCATCCAGAAGGTCGAGCCGCATGACCATTGGGGGGAGGGCTGCCAGGTGGACCAAACAGATAGTCCTTGAATTATGACCATGGGGGGGAGGAGAGGGTGGAAGGGAGTAGAACATTTGCAAAGGTGCGGTTCGAACCCAGGAACGCCCCCCACACCCCCACCCATACAGGTCGTCCCGTATCACAAAACCGCAAAATTTCCGTTGCTAAGTGAGACAACGCAAGTGTGCAGTTGTCTATTTTATGACTCCCTTTTGCCGCCATCATTGCCGGGAATCCCTGAGGCAGTTCAGTCAATCACCTGGTCGTTAAGTGAATCCAGACTCCTCCCTCATCGGCTCGTCGGAAGGTTGGAACAGGGATTGCGTAACACTCCGCGCCTCCTTCCCGGGAACGCTGCAACCGCCGTAAAATACGAGTCAGTCTGAATTCGGATCAACTGGCATAAGTCTCTTTCCCCCTCCCCCCCCCCCCACCGGGCCATTTTCGTAACAGCGAACGGTCGCTAAGCAAATCATTTTTCTCTTCCGCTGTCATCTTTTTTGTTTTTGCTTTTTTCAGTATTTGGGCCAAATAACGTCAGTTCCCGGATATCTGAATCCCTCCAGCCGCACCGAGATCCTCCATTTAATCGACACCGCAAAGGTAGGTAAGCCTTTTTGGCCCTGTACGTCCTCAATTTATGACCGTTCCGACTTACGACAGCGCTGGGGAAAAAAAACACACTCCAAATTAGGAGCATTTTTCACACTTACGGCTGGTGTTTCACAGTCTTACGACTGTCGTGGGGGTTTCTCCCGCAGTGAGAGGGATTCCCAATTCGGAGGCTTGGCAAATGATTCGTTTTTACGACAGTAATGGGGTGGGTGGGGGTGTGTCACGAGATCCCCTTCGGACAACGCCCCTGTGGCTGAGTGAACCGTGGCAGTGCTTCACTTAATGACCGTGTGACTCTTTGAACCGCTGCCACGATTCACTTAACGCCCATGTAACTGAGCCGCAGCAGCGCTTCACTTAACGATGGTTTGCTTAATTAAACCGCTGCCATGATTCACTTAATGCCCGTGTGACTCATACCGCTGCCAATAATTCACTTAACGAAAGTGTGACTCCTTAAAATGCAGCAGTGATTCATTTAACGACCATGTGACTGAACTGCTACAGTGATTCACTTAATGATGATGTGACTGATTCACTTAATGGTGTGACCGATTGAACCACTGTTGTGATTCACTTAACGACTGTGTGACTAAACAGATGCAGCAATTCACTTAACGCCAATAAACTTCACGAAAGGGAGCAAAGCCCCCACCCCCAAATGTCTGCCACAGAGATTCCTGGCTGCCTTGCGGTCGTAAGTCGAGGACTATCCTTGTGTTGTCAGTGAAACTATCAAGACATATTTCTGGTTTGATCGTCCCAAGGATTCATTTAACGCCAATCAAAACCCCTTCCTTCCTTCCTTCCTTCCTTCCTTCCTTCCCTCCATCCTTCCCTCCTTCCCTCCTTCCTTCCTTCCTTCCTTTGTCTCCTCTCCTCCCACAGCGGGCTCACCAGCTTCCCGGCCAGCTGACTCATGAGCACGACGCCGTGGTCAGTGTCTCGGCTTACAACGTCAAGCTGCTGTGGCGCGACGGCGAGGACCTCATCCTCCGGGTGCCCATCCACGACATCGCCTCCGTCTCGTACATCCGGGACGATTCCTCCCATCTGGTGGTGTTGAAAACAGGTAAGTGGGTGCGGGGGGGGGGAAAGGGATGGACGGCGAGTCCTCGGCTTTACGACCGCCATAAAGGGGAGGGGGCGGGGGGTGTACTTTTCCGCAGCTGAGTGGATTGCTTCAGGAGCTTTCTCACACACACACACACACACACACACACATCATTAAGTGAATCCCCACGGGCCGGAAACTGGGAGCAGAACAACACCCTTTTGCCTCTTGTCTCGCTTTGCGACATAAATCTTCATTAAGTCGAGGACTCCCCAGATCCGAGACGCTTTGCAGGCCGACAGTGTCTTTAACGGGGGCGAGATTGGCTTCTGTTACCTTCTTTTTTTTCCTGGTTAAGTGAACCGTGACCGTCGTTAAGCAAATCACTGTCATTAAAGTGAGCCACGTGGTTGTTAAGCGAATCCATCGGCTCGGCTCGGCAGAGGGCCATTTAGGGAAGGTTGCTCCTTGGAGAATCGGGTGACCCGGGGAATGCTACAACCGATAGTCTCTCTGCCCCACCCACTTAAGCTTCACTTAGTGACGGTTCAGAGTTAAAACGGGAGAAAAGAGACTTGGGACGGGTCCTCCGTTTCCCCCCCCCCCATAATTAACGGACGTTCCGGTGATCGAAATGGGGAGACTTCCTGACCGACTCATTCTTTACGGCAGTCCTCTTTTCGCGACAAGTCAATTGAGGAAGCCCACTTGGTTAGCGACCGGGTCTCTCCACAACGGCCGCGGCAATCGACTTCCCAGCAGGTGGCCAGAACGGACGGAAAAACGGGAGGGGGAGCAACCTTTGCACATGTCTTGCTTAGCGATGGAAGTGGAGGAGGGGCTCCATTGCGGTCGTAAAGTCGAGGACCCCTGTCAGATGTCGTCTCCGTGGCTAGGTCCCCCCCCAAACGGTCGCTCAAAGCCCGCCCCACCCCGCTTTGTGACCTTCGCGCCACGGCAAAGTGAATCCATGCCATCGTTAAGCCGATCGCCAGTCATTAAGTGAAGCGAGCTCTTCCCCTTCTGATTTGGCCTGTTGGGAGTGGCTAATTCGGATCCCGTGATCAGGGGCATACTTTCCCCGGGACCCCTGAATTTTGATGATAGGGACATATGTGACCGTCGTAAGTGTGAGGATCCGCTGTCAACCCCCCCTCCCCCTTTTTGTCCCCCAACATTGTCGGTCCTGAAAAGAACGGTCATAAGTCGAGGATGTTGTGTCTAAGCATCTGAAAGGGTGGGGGCCAAACCAATAGGCTGGTGGGGGCGGTGGCTTCGTTCTCTCGGAGACGTCTTTTTACCCAACTAGGCAATATCATCAGGGTTCGGACGGGGAGGACTGTGAAATCCAGGGTGCTCCTTGAGCTGGGGGGGGCGGTTGGTAGACGTCTCATGACCCAACTAGGGAACGTCATCCCTGCGGGAAAGGATTGTATATAAAGAGAGAGCAAACTCCACACTCCCTTTTAGCACGGATGACGTTACCTGGTTGGGTCACGAGGTGTCTGCAAGGAAATCCCCCAGCTCAGAATAACCAAGGACCTCACAGTCCCTCCTCCTCCCTTCCTTCCTTCCTTCCTTTCTTCCTTCCTTCCTTCCTT